TTGGTTTAATTACTATTGGAAAATGCTTGTCATTCCTCTGTAGCATCTGGTCCCCACTGGACCCTCATCATTTCCTTCACCTGCTCCCCCCACCGACCAAACTGTGCAGCTCTCCAACGGCATCCTGGCCCATCCTCACCCTTCTGCCCCCAACCCTCACCTCCTTGTACCCCCAATATGTTTTTCCCAATTAAAAAAAAATTATTAAAAAAAATATCTGCCAAGAAGTTAGCTAGGATTCATAGTCCAATTTACAGTAATAGCAAAAGCTAAAAGCCTAAAAGAATCTCACATGGATCTACAACAGGAGAAGATAAAATAGATGAATAGGACCTTCTAAGAATCAAATCCCTATGCACATCCAAAACTTCTCCAACAGGGTAAAAAGGGAAGCCACAGACTGGGAAAAAGTATTTTGTAATGACATCTCAGATAAGGAACTTATATCCAGATTTTATACAATACTTGAGTACCACAACAAGATAAATAATCCAATCGAAAAATGGGCACAGAATATGAACAGACACTTCACCAAAGAAGACATTCAGATGGCCAACAAGCAAATGAAGAAATGTTAAAAATCCCTAGCTCTAAGAGAGATGCAAATCAAAAAAACAACTATGAGATACCAACTCACTCCAGTAAGAATAGTAAAATTTAACAGACAGCAAACAACAAATGCTGGTGAGATTGTGGAAAAACTGGAACCCTTATTCACTGTTGGTAGGAGTGTAAAATAGTGCAACCACTGTGGAAGGTGGTATGGCGCGTTCTCAAAAAGTTGCAAATAGAAATACCATTTGACCCAGCAATTCCACTACTGGGAATAAACCCCAAAGAGACCACAACTGCCACCCAAACAGATATATGCACACCCATGTTTATCGTGGCTTTGTTCACAATAGCAAGGAGTTGGAAACAACTTAAGTGCCCATCAACAAATAAACGGATAGAGAAGCTGTGGTATATTCACACAGTGGAATACTACGCTGCATTGAAAAACAAGGAACTCATGAAATATTATTCAAAATGGGTGACCCTGGAGGACATTATGCTGAGTGAACTATCTCAGTCACAGAAGGACAAATACTGCATAGTGCTACTGTTGTAAAACAGGACTGACATCGGGGTTGACAGGAGACTGAGAAAGATGGGATAAATAATGTATACTGCATTGAAACAGATGAGGGTGAAAACGGTTTAAAAGGGATAGATATGTGATTAGATATTATTGTCATGACAGGAGTCCAGAACAAAGCCTGCATAGTGGAGTGGAAATGGAGGGAGGGACTGTAAAACAATGAAAGAATTTTTCTTTTACTTTTTAAAAAGAGTGTACTGGGGGGCAGGGGGGCAGGGAGAAAAGTACAACAATGAATGAATGGAAATTTAAAGTGTCTGTAAATTTTCATTAAAATTAGTAATAATAAAAAAGTTGCAAAAAATACAGAATGAAACAAAAGCATAAGATTATAAAAAAAGATTCTCACATGGGATAATAAAGAACAGTATGAAACTTGAAAACTATTAATAAAATACACAGTGAACTCTGCACATTTTAGCAGTCGAGAATAGTATACTTAGCTCTCAGATTATTTACAGGATTGATCTTAATGGCTTTTTTTTTTAGAATTTTATATAGAGTTACACCATGTTCTCCTTATAGTCTCTAAGCATCTTCCAATATGAAAAAAATTTCCAAGTTGGGAAGGTTGGAAAACCACCTGCTAGACAATTTGAACTGAAGAGGCAGAGGGCCTTATTCACACCCTGAGATATGTTGATTATGCTCAAAGACTTCTCTTCAGATATCCAACTTGTAGTCTAACAATTCTTTCCTAAACATTTCAACTTCTACTAATATAACAAGAGAATGTTAAAACATATATTTTTAAATTTTTATTTAATGCTGAGTTGAAACCAACTCATAGCTGACCTTCCAGTGGATTTCAGAGGCTGTAAATCACAGGAGATTACTCATCTTTCTCTGCAGAGCAGCTGATGGATTTGACCTGAATGCCTTTGAGTTGGAAGTTCCTTATCACTAAGGCATCAGAGCTCCCTTAAAACAATATTCTCCCAAATCTTAGGGACCTAGACACCTCTATCTCTTCTTTGACATACCACTATATGGCATAAGACCTTTATTTAACTACACTTGTTGTTGTGTACCAGAGAGTCGGAACTGACCTATAGCTACCCTCTGGAGGGTTTTCAGAGGCAGTTAATCACACGAGAGAATGCCCATCCTTCTCCCATGGAGCAGCTGGTAGCCTTGCACTGTATGCCTTTGGGATTGCAATACAGTGTCTTACCTCTAGTCCACCAGAGCGCCCATTAAGAATTAAGTATCCTTATCACTTAGAAAGTAGAACAAAAAGAATTCTCAATATAAAAGCCACAATTTTAGCTATTTCTTTTTTCATACCTTCATTGTCAAGCCAACTCCTTCAAAGTTTTCATATCTCATTAGATGTTTACATATATAGTCTGATCTTTCCCTTACTACTTTCTTCACTGAAGCAGTTTCCAACAATACCATTAATTATCATGAACAAAATAAAGTTCCCCTTCCTTTCTTTTATTTAAGGCTCTCAGGTATGAAAATACAGTATTCCTTCTTAATACACCTTCCTTTTATGATACATAAGCAGGTGAGGTCACAAATACTAATTTTCCAAGTAGAGCACTCTCTCAAGAGTCCTGGCCTGAAGAAAACATTATATAGTTACTTTGTCTAGAAGACTTTTAACCAGTACCCCCCATCTTTCCTGTAACTTCATTGTTTCCCAACTACCTAATACTTTTTCTCTCAGATTCTTTCAATAGGAATTGTCACATTCAATTAAAAAAATTCTCTAAACTCACAACAGAGCTCACGGAAATGTTCCATACCATTATAATAATAAAGTGAGGTAAGTGGTGGTATATGCCAACCTAACTGTTGCTGTTATGTGCCATCGAGTCGCTTGCGACTCATAGCGACCCTATATACAACAGCTCTAAACTCCGCTCTGTCCTGTGCCAATTGCACTGTCTCTGACACTCCCATCCTGTTACCCCAGTCACTGAATCAATGCACCTCTTAGAGGGCCTTCCCCTCCTGCGCTGACCCTCCACCCTCCCAAGTATGATGTCTCTTTCCAAGGACCGGTCCCTTCATACAACATGTCCAAAGTATGTTAGATGAAGCCTCAGAATCCTTGCCTCCAAGGAGCCACCCGGTTTAACCCTTTCCAGGATGAATCTGTTTTCCTAGCAGTCCATGGTACTCTCAATACTCTTCTCCAGCACCACAGCTCAAAGACATCAATTCTCCTTCTATCCTCCTTGGTTATTGTCCAACTCTCTGATGCATAATAAGTGACAGCAAAGACCATGGCCTGTATCAGATGCACCTTAGTCTCTAGAGAGGCCAACCTAACCAGTATAAATTAATTCAACTTAATCCCCATTTCATTCCTTATACTGTTCTACGAAAAAGGCAGTGCATAAGCTACACTAGTTAATGCTTTTATTAATTACTCATACAGTGAAAATTGTAATAGATATTACTGATATAAGACTATTCATTTGCCAAACTTACCCACAAAGGCTCCAAATTCTATATTATCTCCTTGTGCAGCTTTAGGACAAAGAGTTTCTTGATCTTTGGTTACAGTTTCCAATTGGCTTATGCAACTGGGCTGGGATGGTGTACTAACAAAAAATTTGGCAGAGGGGGATGACAGATGCGGTATGCTATTAGGTGAACTACCTAATTTTTTATTTTTACCATATATCTTTAAGGTGTCTGTCCCATGTACTCTCTGACGCAGTTCTGGAGGAGAAACAGCACTTGGGAATAAGGCACTACAAGAGGAACCAGCCTCTGGAAAATGGAATTCTTTTCTCTGGGGTATTGCAGGTAAATCTTGACCAAATATGCTATTTTGGGGATCTTTTTCATCCTTCATAAAAATATTACAAAGAAAAGGATTATTATTTTCAAGACCCCCTTGAGGAAATGAAGAGCGAAGTGTATTTACAACACTGTGTTTTTTCCACACAGAAGGTCTTAAAGGACCATCTTCAATAAGATTTTGCGTCAGATGTTTGGAAATGCTCAACTCTCGTGTGATTTCATTGTGAACTTTGCTCGCTTCTGAAGCTTTCTGGGCAGTCAGTGTTTTTAAAGTATCTACAGTCAGAGCTGACAGATCTTGTAAATGGCCAATCTGGGAATCTAATGAGTGTAATGATCTTTTTATGTAGTTAACACGATCTCCAACTTCTTTAATCTGAATGCACATCTCCTCCACCCTGGGGAGAGAAAAAAACCCACACAATTACTCCCCCTCTGTGAAAAAGTAATGTTTTAGCTATTCTTTTAATAATCTTAATAAATGATAATGGCAAAATAAACGTGACAGAAAGTATATAAATGCAAACAAGTTAGAGAAAACATAGTCATTGATTTACACAAGGCACACCTGATGCTTAGGAAACCTATCATACAATCATAATGATACATAAAGCTAAAAATTATGACAGCCTATTTATTCTCCTTTTTCTAAGTCAAAGTAACAAAAATATACTAATATAGGTACTTAAATATAGAACTACACTTATCATTACTATGATTACATAAGTATATTCTAAAATAAAGATATTCAGGAAAATGCTTTAAAATAATAACACATGCTAAAATGAACATTAATTCTTTGCACACTGAAGCTAAGTTAAAAATTAAGACTAGATTTTGAAGTATCAGAAATAAAGAATTGAATGTCTACCACTATATGCTGCAAAACTATCACTATATTTCTGACATACAAAAATTGAAGAATGAGACATAAACAGTAAAAATCACTCTAACATGCAATCTAATTAAGCTCTATCAGAACCTTTCAAATGTGACACGAATTCTTTCTTCACTCCCAGTATAGAATTTGTCATCTTTTTCATTAAAATACATCTCAACACACTGTTCTTCAAAATCATGAAGTTTCTTTTGATCTTCTTCTGTTAAGAAGAGTTCTAAAGGGAAAGAAAAGCAATGCCACTTTAGCTTACAAGTTAAGTGAATTATTCAAAGTTTATATGACCTTTACATGAAATGAAACATTTATGTTTTTTTGTTTTCTGTGTTTCTAGGCCACGTCACAAGTCTCTTCTTGACCTGACAGTGTGATGTCAGTAAGATTTTCAAGTACTCCTAATTTCCTTTCTTTTACAACACTTTGTTGTTTCTCATGCATACCTTTTCACCTATCTTGGCAGAAAAAAAATTAAAAACTGAAAGTGTATTGTTGTTATGTGCTGTCGAGTCACTTGCAACTGATAACGACCCTATGTACAACAGCCCTAAACCCTGCTCTATCCTGTGCCAATCGCACTGCCTCTGACACACCCATCCCGATTACCCCAGTCACTGAATCAATCCACCTGATAGAGGGTCTTCCCCTCCTGTACTGTCCCTCCACCCTCCCAAGCATGATGTCTCTCTCCAAGGACCTATCTCTCCTTACAGCATGTCCAAAGTATGTCAGACGAAGCCCCAGAATCCTTGCCTCCAAGGAGCCACCCAGTTTAACCCTCTCCAGGATAAATCTGTTTGTTTTCTTAGCAGTTCATGGTACATTCAATACTCTTCTCCAGCACCACAGCTCAAAGGCATCAATTCTCGTTCTATCCTCCCTAGTCACTGTACAACTCTCTGATGCATAACAAGTGACTGCAAAGACCATGGCCTGTATCAGACGCACCTTAGTCTCCAGAGTGACACCACTGTTCTTCAGTACCCTGGAGAGGTCCCTAACAGCAGACGTCCCATCACAATATGTCTTTTAATTTCCTAGCTGCTGTTGCAAAGTGTTGACTGTGGGGCCAAGCAGACTAAAGTTGTTAACAATCTCAATCTCTTCACCATCCTAATGCTGCCAATTGTTCCAGTGGTGAGAATCTTTATCTTCTTGTCACTGAGCCTCAATCATATTGAAGGCTGCAGTCCTTGACCCTCTGCAGCAAGTGCTACAGGTCCTCAGTTTCAGCAAGCAGGGTTGTGTCATCTGCATAATGCAGACTGCTGACGATTCTTCCACTAATCCTGACGCCACATTTCTTCTCATGGAGTCCAGCCTCTTGCATAATCTGTTCTGCATATAGGTTGAAAAGGTATGGAGACAGGACACATCCCTGTCATACACCCTTCCCAATTTTGAACCATGCAGTGTTTCCTTGCTCTGTTCTAATGACTCTTGGTCCAAGTATAGGTTTCACATTAGCACGATCAGGTGTTCTGGGATTCCCATTCTTCTCAGAGTCAGCCAGAATTTATGATCCACACAGTCAAATGCCTTTGCACAATCAATGAAACACAGATAGACATTCTTCTGGAATTCCCTGCTTTCAGCTAAGATCCATCTAACATCAGCTACAATATCCCTAGTACCACGACCCCTTCTAAATCCTGCACTTCTGGCAGTTCTCTGCTGATGTGCTGTTCCAGTTGTTTTTGGATAATCTTCAGTAGAATCCTGCTTGCATGTGAAACCAATGATATTGTTCTGTAGTTTACACACTCTGTGGGGTCACCCTTCTTTGGGATGGGAACAAATATAGATCTCTTCCAGTCAGTTGGCCAAGTGGTTGTTCTCCAGATTTCTTGGCACAGCTTGGTGAGCACGTCCAGGACAGCATCCATTAGCTAAAATATGTCAACTGGTATACCATCTATTCCTGGGACCTTATATTTTGCTATTTCCTTCAAAGTAGCTTGAACTTCTTCATCACCATAGGCTCTTGCTCATATGTTATTTCATGAAATTCTTCTGTGTCTGCCAATTCCTTTTGATACAGTGACTTTAGTATATTTTTTCCATTTTCTTTAAATACTTCCTGGATCTTTTAATATTCTGCCCAAAGCATCCTTGATTATAGCAACTCGAGGTTTGAATTTGTTCTTCAGTTCCTTGAGCTTAAGAAATGCTGAGCTAGTATTACAGGAAGCAATTTTAAAATCTGGAGGTCTTTGACTGGTGATTAGTCTCATGCGCTATGCAGAATACATATGTATTTACAGAGCAGCAAAGAATGGTTCATAGACTAGCAAAAATATTACCATTTTTGTCATTATAATAAAGATAAAATATTCTGGAAAAAAGTCAATGTTAAATTCAATTTATTAAACTTTTTTTTTTTAAATCTTTAGGGCCAATTTAACATGTTGCTGCATACTTTTAAATTGACGACTGTGCTTAAAAATATGTGGAAAACGGCTACAGCCGTCATTTGAGGCATTAAAGGAAGTCTTTAAAATAACATTCACCAACTAACAAAATTTCAATACACAGGAAGGGGGGGGTAAAATGTGCAACAATGAATAAATGAATCTAATTTTTCTGTTAACTTCTGTTAAAATCACAATTGAAATAAAACACTTCAAGGGGAGCTCTGGTGGCCTAGTGGCAAGAAGCTGCACTATAATCCCAGAGATATGCGGTTCGAATTCACCAGATGCTCTGCCGGAGAAGGAGGGGCCATTTCCTCCTGTACCAGTCAGATACAATTTGACGGTACACACACATACACACACACAATAATAAAATTAAAAAAAAAAACCAAAAAAACACTTCATTAAAAAAATCAATACACAGACTATAGTGAAACATCCAAAGTAATAAAATGTAAAACATTTGCCTCGGCAGGTTTTTACTTACTTGGTCCATCTGAAGTCTTATCCTTTTTTCTTCTTTTACATATACAGCAAAACAAAGAAACAATATGACTAAGAATGATAAGAGGTGGAGGCAGAACTGGTTTCTCATGATAAGCCATAATGAAATGATAGCGTTGGTACTTCCACACAATATTGGAAATTGCCTTCACTTGAAAATACACATTGCTTGAATGGGGGGAAAAATAGGACAAACTTAGCTAATTATATTTTAAAGCTTCAAATAAAAATTATTGCTATTTTATTCTAAACATTGATTCAAAGAATAAACTACCAATGAATAAACTACCAATAAGTAAGACTAAAAGTCAAATGAGAAACTTGTAGTAATATATGTAATAAGTGAAAGGCAAAAAGCTTTTGACACATTAAATCTTAACCAAAACCTACAAAAAAAAATAGACAAGACAACATACCTAATGATTTAAAAATTATTCAAGACTAGGGACTTCTGGTGGCCTAGTTTTTAAAGAATTGAACTGCGAACCCAAAGTCATGCAGTTCAAATCCACCAGATGTTTCATAGGAGAAAGACTGGCAGTCTATTCCTGTGCAATTTATAGCCTCTGAAACCTACTGAAGGTCCAGCTATGAGCTGGTTCTGAATCAATGGTAAACAACAATATAAGAAAATATTTATTTTTAACAGTTACTAGGGATAGGAATGGAAGATGAGAGTAAAAATAGATGTTGGTGAAGAGAAAGGTAGTATGTAATAAGAGGCTGAGCAAATAGTGATATTAATTAATTACATTAATGAATTATAATTGTTATAAAAAAATCACTGATCCATAAATTGTCATTCACCAAAAAGCCCAAGAAAATGTTAACTTCAAGTAATAGTATATAAACTCCAAAAGACAGTTCCAAAATATTTGAAAATATTTAAATCTCAAATAAAAGTAAAATAAAATAATAAATCATAAAAAGCCCCTCAAACTCATTGTGGTTGAGTCAGAACGGACTCATAGATGACCTCTAATGGGTTGTCAAAGGCTGTAAATTGCACAGATGAGACTATCCATTGTTCTCAGGTGGGACAGCTGCTGGAATCGAACTGCCTGCTTCTGGACTGGCAGCGCAACTCTACACCTATTAGATAACCAAAACTTCTTTAAAAATAGTAATAAAAAGAAATACAAGAGTTTTAAATCCCCAAGTAGTTTATATTAAGCTCTACGGAATCACAGAATCAAGAGGCTCAAATACAACATAATGTTAAAAAAAAAAAAAAAGGAGGCTCTAGAAGACATACTTTTAAAATACAAAATTTTGTTTTAGATGATAAAAAAATTTCAGTGCCATAAACAACCCAATAAATGGTACATTTTAAAAAGGTCCTTTTATGTATTATCAACCTTTAAAAAATGCAGTTATACTCAGTGTTGGACAGGAAATTGGGACTGTAGGCCCATTTTAGTGAGCTGTAGGGGTGCAGTCTGTAAAGAGCTGTGCAGCTGCCCGAAAAGCAGCACTTCTCGGTTTGTCTGAATTCACCAGTGGCTTCTTCAGGGGAAGGATAGACAACTTCCTTCTGGGCAGTTCACAGCCTCAAGAAAATCCACTGGGTGTTTCCGAAGATATGCTAAATACAATCCCAAAAGAACCAATCTGTCTTAATACAAAATGTTGCTGAGAGGCAACTTTGGTGAAACTTATTCTCACATCGTTTGGGCACATTATCAGGAGGCGTCAGTGCCTGGAAAAGTGACAAATGGGTGAAGAAAAGATCTTCCATGAGGTAGACTGTCACAGTGACTCCCAACAATGGGGTTACACATAATAGAGATTTTGAGTATGGGGCAAGATCACCCAGTGTTGCTTTGAGCTGGAGCTGACTCAATGGTACCTAACAACCATATCTGTTATATTATCTCATTACAATAAGTAAATGAATAAAATTCTTACTTGAAAAATGCAATAAGAAGATTAACCATAATGATATACTGTACAAAGAGGTAGACTGCTTGAAGAAATGGAGTTAACCAAGTTCCAGGACCACAGATGTGTGGGACAGCAGAATCATTTGCACACACTGAAAAAAAAGAAAATATACCTAGTTTTTAGCTATTGTTTATTACAGATAATTTTACATATATCTGACTTATCAACAACTCTGAAATGTCCTTTTAATATTATGTAAACTTGCCCTCACTTTGGAAAAAACTGAACCAATATATCTAATCTTGCAACATATCTTTCCTCACAATCACCTTCAATTAGAAAAGTTTAGAGCTTTTTCTAGCAATAAAGCTAAGCAAGAACCACACCTCAATTCATATGTGAATTCAACTTAATAAATTTACTAATGGATTTAATTTGTAATCTGGGGACTGCTTGTATTACTAAATTTTGATTATATACAAATCTGTGTTTCACATATGCCACCAAATGTTTCAGGGCAGACAGAAATATGAATGCCAACTCTAAAGTATTCTAACATAGATTTTTTTTAACAGGAAGATTTTTGAAGGATTTAAGTACTATCTATTCTAGCCCTCTATTTGGGTAGGTCCTTATTCATTGTCCAGAGACAATGAATCGGGATGACAGAAAAAAAGTGATGCTTTTGAACTGTGGTGGTGAAGAGATCAAACATATCTTGGAGAAAGTGCTGCCACAATGCTCTTTGAAGCAAAAATGATGAAGCTTTGCCTCACATACTTCAGGTATGTTGTTAGGAGAGGCTACTCCTTGGAGAGTAGGATATGATGTTTGGAAAGACAGAGTGTCAGCAAAGGAGAGGTGGATTGACATGGTGACTGCTCAATGAGCTCTGGAGTGTCAGAAGTATAAAGATAGCATAGGATAGGACATGGTTCAGATCTGTTGTTCATAGGGTGGTGTTCAACTCAGTAACTCTTAACAATAATTTGGGCAGGGGAGGTGCATTCCCAATCTAAAGGCAAACAGTGTAGAAGGAAGATGAGCAATGTCCTCCTATGCAATTTATTGCCTTTGAAAACCTACTGTAGGGTCAGCTACGAGTTAGTTCTAACTCAACAGTAATAAGTGTTTCATCAACTACCATCCTTTAAAACAGGGTACAGCATGAAAAGCATTTTAAAGCCTAAAATCCTGGGTCAGACATATTAACACTCGTATGTGAAAAATGTTTTAAAGATGTAAGAAAAGAGCAAAAGTCAGAAAATTTTAAAAGGTAAAGATTACTGAGTTAATCTTACTAAATCATGGCTGATGAAGATGCTAAAAGTGCCATTTAAATGTAGTGATTAGGTATTAACTCCATGCTTTCTATTACCATAAACTAGAATGTTTCTGAAGCCTGAGACTGGAAGACAAGGGAAGAGCTGAGCTCTGATGGTGAAATTCATAAGGAGTTGTGTTGTGAGTCTAAAGTCTAGGCCCCTATGGTGGCTTGAACTTACCAGTAGCTCTGAGGGATAAAAATGGGTACTTTCCTACTGTGTGCATGACAACCTGCCATGAGATTTACAAATTCCTGAAAACCTGCTGAAAGGTGAGCTATGAGTCAGTTCTGACTCAATGGCATGAATGGAGCTATAATTATAGGAATAAAGTAAACCTAATTTAAGTAAGATCAGAATTAAAGAATTATTGACAAGCTTTATTTGAATATATTGTAGCTAATACCTGTGCATACTAATTATTATGAACTATAACAAGTTATAATTATGGTTTTATCATTCCTTTAAAACAGTTCTACAGGCAAATTAGGTAGCTCTGGTGGCCTAATGGTTACAAGCTCTGTTGCCAACCCAAAGGCACACATTTTAAATTAATCAGTTGCTCCATGGGAGAAAGATGGGCAATTAATTACCTCTCATGTGATTTACTGCCTCTGAAAACCTGCTGAAGAGTTAACTATGTGTTGGTTCCAACTCAGTGGTACATAACAATAACAGCAAATTAATGTAGTTTCTTAAAAACTTTCATTAATCTATTTCCATTGTATTCTGAGAAAAGGGAGAAGTAAGATCCAAGAAAGTGAATGAAGTAAAATGTAAAAACCAAAATAAACACAAGAATTACAAGGAGTTCCCAGGTTATGGACATCCAGCTTATATACAACTTGTACTTATGAAAGCCAGTATTTGTAACATCGTTAGTTTGGAAATATTTAATGGTTTTATGTACAGAATGGTACAGTAAGACAAACATGTGACTGATGTTAGATACCAACTACTAATTGTTCTGATCTACATAAAAATTAAACTACCTACAGAATAAATTAAAGATAGATTTAGGCGCTAACTCAGGAATAATTCAGGATATGCTTGTACCAAATTAGTCACACCCACATAAAAGTAGGGGACACTAAAAGCCTAGTTTGCTGTAACGTAATCCAGGAAGTTATTAAACATAAATTTTTACCAAGCTAATCAATACCTTATTATTTTAACCACTGTGTGATATCAACAATTTTCTCTCTATATTGCTACTACTTGAGCTAATTACCTACAGAATAAGTGTAGGGTAAGCAGTTGAGAGTATGTTTGGAAATGAAGTGCTTCAAAGTGATGTAAAATATAAAGAAAGATTCAATAACTCAGTTGTAGAGGTCAGTAGAAAAGCACTTCTGAAAGTTGTTACCATGGCCTATGCTCTGAAGCTATCCGGCATCATAAATGAAGACAGTATAGGAGTTAGAGGAGTATAATATTACTATGTAACAGACAGAATATTCTTGGAAATCTTTTAAGAAATATATTAATGGGAAGTGCATGGACAAGCAGGGATGATGAGCTATATTTACTGTGGTAATCTCATCTATTACAGAATGGATTTACACTTCAAGTATTTGAACAAATTTGATAATCTCTACAGAATTCAACAGGCTGCAAGCTTTTCTAGATTCTACAGTCTTTTTCGTAAACATTGTAAACATGCTAGATGCTGTCTACCCTGCTAGGTCTCATCACACTCTAGTCCCCGTGCCAAGAACTGTCTCAGTGAAGGGGAGGTTGAAGGCAATCTGAGCAACAATGAGATGCAAAGACAAGTTCAACAGGGAATTTCTAGTAAGATAATTCTTCCCTCTTAAGAGAATTAGAAAAATGTAGTACTTTCCCCACTTAAATATTAATAACAGAATCTTACAATCACAGAGGAAACTGGTCAGCCTTAGACACTGCACTATGAACTAGTGAAATGAAGAACTCTTAACTTCCTACGTGAACTAAAAAACCACGCTTATAGTTCAAAGTAACTCTACAAAGAATTTTATTACTTGTAGCAGGACACTTCCAGTAAAAATAAAAATACTTTTAAACAATTTCTGTTAAGTCTCTTGTGGGGTTAACTAATGTACTACTAAGGATGACTTGGTTGGTAAGTATATTATTTCTGAATACATGCATTACGATAATACAAAATAATTTTAAAATATAAAACCACCATGAATTATGAATACATAAGCATTTGTAAAACTAAATCCTTACCATCAATTTCATATGCATAAACTTCACCAAAAATCATCCAGTATGGATTGAAAACTATATCTTTAGCAAGTGACCAAGAAGGTTGTTCTTGAGGATACAGTATTGCCTTTCTGGGAACACCAAAACTAAGTAATACAAGAGCCATAATCACTACAATGTAGAACATATTGGCCACCTGTTTAAAAAAAAAATTAATATCGTTAAAATACATACAAATTTTAAAACTATTACAATTTCGCATCTAAATTTTTTTCTAATATGCTAACAGATAATTAGTCTTGCAATTTGTTATCTCTAATAACTGAAATCCAGGAAACTGTTATGACTACATAAACTTTAATATGCAAGAAATTATGTAAACACGATCTGTAAACTAAGCAAGTAATCGGCTTTCAACTATTTAATGAACCATATTTAAAGGAGAATATGCGTATGTATGAAGTAAATGGAAATTTTCAAGCAGCACAGAAAAATGGGCATATCAGAAGGGAATAATTTCCATAGCCTCAACTTTCTTAACATGCTTTCCTTAAACTGATCTTTGGTTGTGGTCGAGGTGCAATTTCTCTTTTTTACCTTTTGTTTTCTAACTCTCCTTTGCCAACTCACAAAAGACTTTTCACATACACTGAAAACTACCTATGTTGCCCTGATCAGGCCTCAACGTACAAGAGCAACAAATGGAATTATCAGTACAAGTGCAGCAAAAGTAAACAACAGCATTAAAAAAAATAAAAACCACACTAAAATCAACTCATTGCTGCTGAGTTGGAACCAACTCATAGCTGGCCCTCCATCAGGTTTTAGAGGCTGTAAATGGAATGGGGGGGGGCGACACGGACACTGCTCATCTTTCTCCCATGGAGCTGCTGGTGGACACAAATGAGCAAAGAAGCCTGGTCTTTGCCGTTAGCAGCACAATTCTCTACTGACTACCCAACAGAGCTCCCTGAAAGCAACAACTTAAATTTTTGTTGCAATTCTTCAACAAAACGTAACAATTCTACTTAAGCTATCACCTACTAATTGCTGAGCAAAAAAGGTAATTTTATATTTTATTCATGAACTCAAAGAATTTAGTGGCATGCTACAATGAAATTTTCATTGCTATCTACTTATATTGGTATACAAATTGTTAGCATTGATATAAAAGTAGAATGTTGTCTTAACTCTCGAAATATTCATTCACATAATAATCTGGAGGGGGGAAGCCTCTTGAAGACAAAAAGACATTACATTCTTGGTACATCTATATATTTTTTTTAATTTTTATTTATTTATTTTATATGTGTACCATCAAATTGGATCTGACTGGTACAGGAGGCAATTGTTCCTCCTTCTTCAGCAGAGCATCTGGTGGATTTGAACCGTGTACCTCTGGGATTGCAGTGCAGTGTCCTGTCACTAGGCCACCAGAGCTCATCATATATTTTAAAAGTTAAATATGCTCACAAAATTTTAACATAATCATGTTCTGATCTATTGTAAACTAACAATATTACAAGGATAAAATCTAAAAGTAATTATGGTATTTTCATGATTTTTTAAGAAATGATATATAATAAAAGTAACAGGAGGAACATGAAAGGAGTTATGGACATAGTAAGTCTAGAGTGGACAAAGTACTTTTATATGGACATAAAGGTAGAAAGAAAAGCTATGGAAGAGACCTGAGTGTCAAATGTCAACTCAGATAAAAAGTTGTTTACGTTTAAAATTCTAAGCCAATGAATTATCTTTTTAGTTGATGAGCACAGGTCAAATAAGGCCTACAATAGGCATTAAGTTAAAATGTTTGATAAGGAAAAATGTAAAAAAAAAAAATTCTGGGCTAAACTTGCTCTTGTTGGATTTTAAATCCCTTCTCTTGTACTTCATCCAAAAAATCACCAAATAGGAAATGGTTCCAGCTGAAATAACTGCACTGGCCTCTGCTAGAGATGTCTCCTGCCAAAAAGAAGGCAACCAAGAAGGAGGATGGTGGCACAGAGAAGAGTAAGGCTACAGGGCCTCGGTCTCAGAGCTAATCAATAAGGCTGCTGCCACTTCCAAAGAGCGCAATGGTCTGTCCCTGGCAGCGCTTAAGAAAATGTTGGCGGCCAGCCGCTATGACATGGAGAACAACAACAGCCGTATCAAGTTGGGGCTGGAGACTGGTGAGCAAGGGCACCCAGTCCAGACCAAGGGCACCAGTGCCTACCGCTCCTTTAAGCTCAAAAAAAAGGCCACCTCTGGTGAGGCTAAGCTCAAAGCCAAGAAGGCTGGAGCCAAAAAGGCCAAAAAAGCCCATGGGGGCCATGCCTAAAAAACCCAAGAAGGCAGCAGGGATCAAAAAAAGTAGTGAAGAAGACCAAGAAGGCAAAGCAGCCTGAAACGGCAGGTTTGTTAAAAACGTGGCCCACAGCCTAAAGAAAGCTAAGGCTGCTGCCAAGCTGAGAAAGGCAACAAAGGTTTCCACACCAAAATTTGTAAAGCCAAAAGCCTAAGGCAGCAAAACCTAAACCTCAGAGGCTAAGAAGACAGCTCCTAAAAAGAAGTAGGAAGCTGACCTGTAACAAATACACAACCCCAGTGGCAGAGCCACCCCCCCAAGAAAAAAAATCTGGGGGGAATAAAGATAAAACATTATGTATGGAATCTAAGTGTCTGTAATTTAAAGGCTTAATTAAAAAGGCTAAAATAAAACTCAAGAATGCACAGAAATAGCCAAATTTATTGCAAACTATGGTGATTCACAGAGGCCTCTAGATTTCATCTTTTAATATAAAATCTAATTAGATGTAAACAAAATTAAAAATATGAATAGTTTCCCCATCTCTAAAATGACAATTTCTGCCTTGAGCATTTAAAGTGTATGCAAAATTTAGAGCATAACATGTTTGATCTCAATATAAAAGATACCATGTTCTTGCTGAAAGCTACCTTTACAGAATTTGTTACCAGCTCAAAACTGTTCATATTTTTAAAGGCAATTTATCGTATTTTTCTGTTAATATCACTTTTTTCTGTTCACATGTGTCTCTGGTATATTTCACTGTCATTTCCTTGAGGATCTTATTAATCTCTGTAGCCTTAGTTTAGTATGAAATTTAACACAGAGCAGATAAACAATGATACTACTATTAAGTTGCTCTAAAATTCTAAAAGCTCACCTTCATTTAATCAGATAACCAGAAAATTTAGGTTTTGAAATAAAAAACTAACAATCTGCCTCTTAGGCTGATAAGAATAATACTGTATATATAAACAACAAAAAAAATTTAGATGTGCTAGACTTAGCTTTTAAAAACTAATTGAGAAATCAATGAAGGAAGGGGAAAAAAATTGCTAAAGAAAAAAACCAGATTGTATTTCCAGTTAGTGTGGATTATTTGCAGGGTACATTAAGGATGGAATCTTATAGGAATCTACAAGGGTATATTAGGGTTGACCAATAAAAGCATTTTGGGAAAATTTTCCCAAAGTATTCCTACAGTGCTAAATTTGACTAGCTGCTTTCAATACACATGCACTGTGAAGAGTTATTCCAAAGTGTTAAGGAAGGACAAGAAAATGCCAATTTATTATTCTAAAAAATTTAAAATCCAATAGGATGAGAAGGCCTCAGAGTTTCTTCCATATTTCTTTCTCTAAAAATTTGTTCAAAGTTCAGACTGCCCAAATTTCATTGCCCTATCTAGCTTTATTTTCTACTGTCACCCTATAGAGTGCAGTGAATCTTTTCTTCTCCTTTGCCTTTGCAATGACCTTTTGCTTTCCCCCTGGATAACTCTGATGTAACTCCACAGCTCATCTAATCTTTGATCATTAGTGTTCAGTGCCTTACACCTAATCTTGAGATGGTATTCTAAATTCAGAAGGGATACACTCAAACGCCTTATTCTGGTTCCTGTGGATTAACTTTGACTTTACAGTTTGAACGTGCACTTGAGTAACTGGTCATCTCTGGCACAGTTAACACCTAGCCTAGTTCTGACTGCTGACATTGATTTTCTCCAACAATTTTTCCCACATATGTAGTCAAGTTGATTTCTGTGTATTCCAATTGGTGTATACATGCCATTTATTTGTTTTTAAAAAGGTTATCTGCAATGAATAAATCATTATACAAAATTCAATCATTTGATCTCCAGTCTCATTTCTGCAATCAAGTCCAAAAATTTCTATCAGTCTCTGTTTCAAATTTTCATATTCCAATCACCATTTGTTATATATTTGGCATATTGTTAGGAGAGGCTGGTCCAGGTCCAGGGAGGACATTATGTTTGGGAAAGATGAAGAACTAGTGAAAGAGAAGAAGACCTTTAATGAAATGGATTGACATAGTGACAGTAACAATGGGCTAGATGAAGAATTAATAGAAATCTTACTGTAAAATCTTTCACTAAGGGTACCATTTGAAGAGTCAATTTATCAAAATACGTTAAGTCTTGTGTACTCTTAGGTTTTTTTTTCTACTTGAAATAAATGGTTTAATAGGCAGTGTGATATATATTAGCAATATAAAAGTAACTAAATAAAATGAAACAAAGACATCATCTAAATAGTTTCTATGTAGTTCAGAGGAGAAACAACAACAAATGCAAGGGTCTAACTGCGCAGAATTTATAGCTCTAATTAAGGATATTAATCTTTCAGGAACAAAGTAAAACTCATTAAAATACTTTTTATAAAGAGGAAGTGGTATATTCAGGTAAGCATTTTGAAATATTCTAGATATGGACTGAAGATAGGTGAAAGGGTTTGTAAGAAAGGAGATTCTAGATTATTACAGATGGCTGCTGCTGCTGCTGCTTTGGTGTAGGATGGTATACTGTTAAGGAGGAAAAAAGTACACAAATTGGAATCTATAAGTTTGTATTTTCCCATTCTGATTCTAACAATTCCTTTTAAATAGCATCAAAAAGTTAAATCATTTCATGATAAAACCTTTTTTCTTAACATCAAATAGATTTCCTCACAAATGTTAATACTTTCCCTACACCCAGGAGAAGATAAAATAGATGAATGGGACCTTCTAAGACTCAAATCCCTATGCACATCCAAAAACCTCTCTAACAGGTTAGAAAGGGAAGCCACAGACTGGGAAAAAGTATTTGGTAATGACATCTCAGATAAGGAACTTATATCCAGAATTTATAAAATACTTGAGCACC